GATGCAGTTGTCACAGCAGCTATAAGAAGCTGAGTCTGAAGGAGTGCCAGGCTGAAGCACAGCAGCACATGAAAGCAGTGTCCCACCTCCATGCTAGGGTGGCTGGCAGCAAAGGGAACCCTAGCCAGTTGAGGAAAGTGGATGGAAGCTGATGTCAGAGCATTCTGGGGGTCTAGCTAGAAGGCTGGTGGACACCAGGGCATGCATGGCTACTCAGCTTCAGAGCCACAGTAGCCAAGGCTCACTTGAGAGAGATGAAAGCAACTGCTTTTTGTTTCTTACTAAATTGTAAAGAACTATATTTTTGAAAATATTTTATCTTGATTTGAAAGGCAGATTTACAAAGAGATCTTTCATCTGCTGGTTCACTCCTCAAGTGGCTGCAATGGCTGGAGCTGAGCCAATCCAAAGGCAGGAGCCAGGAGGTTTTTCTAGGTCTTTCAAGCAAGTGCAGGGTTCCAAAGGCTTTGGGCCATCCTCCACTGCTTTCCCAGGCCAGAAGCAGGGAGCTGGATGGGAAGTGGAGCAGGCAGGACATGAAGACTACCCACTGTTTTTCACAAAAAGGAGTGAAATGCCTGATGATGCTGTCCTTTGGTCTCTCAGCTACATGGCCCCCTCCTCTCTGCTTTACAGTGTTAAGGGCTCTGAAACTGCTCACCAAGATCCTTAACCAACAGGCTTCCTGCACCTAACAACAGGAGAAAGGCTGTCCCTATTACTGCTGTCTTCCCTTCATCCGTCTCCCCAGCCCCCTCTTGTCCTTCTGACAAAGATTCCCGGTGGAACTTCCAGCTGACCCTCAACAGCCAAGCTCTGAAGTGGCTCTGTTCTTCCAGGTCAGTTTCATCACCTCTTCCCTTCTGTGCTCCTGAGCTCAGAACTGACATTGCTTTCTGAAGCTATTAATATCTAGTTTACCTCATCTTCCCCTTTTTGCATTGTGGTCTATTTCACATATTTAATTCCTGATTGGAATATCCAGTGTGCTTTCCAAAATTAGTATAATCTTTCCAAAATTAGTATAAACTTAGTTTGAGACTGCTTCCATTAAGGATCAATGAAATGGAGTACACCTTTACGATGCTAATCTGCAAATGGAATGCTTTCCTGCCTGCTGTTGCCAGTTCATACACAGGCATTTACATCCTTCTGGCTGTCCTTAAAGAACACAAGATTGCTGCTCCAAAATGCTTTGCAGAGGATGTCAGTTTACTTCATCCATTTCAGAAGGAGGAAAGAGTGAGCTGATTCTCACATTTGCTTCTCAATTCATTTTCACTTGCTCTTATCACTATGTGAACCTAACTTCAGTTAACCATTCTCCTTGACCTCCATTGGATCCATCACCTAGTCTCTCTTTAGTAAAAGGCAAAAGATTTATACGATCTGAAGAGAAACTAGAGTATCCTCCTCTTTACTGTTGATTCATACCTGATGAATCATATCTTCACCTGTGTCAAATGTAGCAGGCTGTTTCTCATTTGTAACACCTCTCACGCACATAGCTTACATTACCAGAAATTTCTCCATAGCTCTATAATAGTCCTTATCTACCCTGTTTCTTAAAACTGAAAGCACAGCACCATTGTATAGCAACGATATTTCAGTCCTTTTGCTGTTAACCTCAGTGGTACTGTTATAATCCATCACATCACCCTTACCTAGTTTCAGAATGGGTTTTTTTTTTCTTCTCTATCAGTTTCTGAATACCAGTGCCTTTTTTATTCTCTATATGTGTATTTTCCCCACAAATGGTTTTGTAAAGCATGAGGAAATCCTGGATATAACTGTGTCTATCTTGGCAGGGAGTCAGATGAAAATCATTTGTTCACTTAAAAAAAAAGAGAGAGTCTTAAAAGTTATGGTATCTAGTGTCCTCAGCTCAAGCCTTGAAGGGAAAAAAAAACATAAAAATCAATATCGCATTCTGTTTGGCATCTGGTTTCCTTTCACCAAAGACACTGCCTTCAGGGACTCCTTAAATTTAGGGCTCTCAAGTTAGGCAGTCACAGGCTGCCAACAAAACTTGATCAACTAAGTATCCTGAGCTGGGAATACTGCCTTATTTGATTAAAGTTTGGGACTGTTCCATCTGTCCAGCCTTTTAAATCAATTTGAGGGACCTGGATCCTGCCTGAGTTAATTCATAGTGACTTTTCCAAAACTAAAATAATCTTTCATAAATGCACATTGAGGATGCCATATGTAACACTGATTTTGTGTTTCTGTGTGTTACAGTCTATCCTAAAATCCCAAAAGATTTGAACTTTGTTATTAGAGCCTCATAGTGGTTCTACGAAGATACTTCCAAGAGGTATGTTTACATTGGTGCAAAAAGTATCTTAAATTGTGTTACCATCTCCATTTTGCAGATGATGAAACTGAGGCACTGTGTGGACATATAGCCTCCTCTAGGACACATGGGTGGTAAGTGGAAGACTGGGACTGGCATTCGGACACTTTGGCCTATGTTCACAACCACTACAGCAAACTACCGCTCAAGCCTTCTCTTTCACAACCCAAGTTGGAATACTCACCAACCACACATTGTTATTATCCAGTTTGTTCCAATATATTTTGTGCCTTGGTGCTGCTCTTCTGTCACAATAGTTCTTGTCCTGTCCCATAAAGCTACCATTCTAGGAAGGTTACTAGGTTCCAGGTGTTCTGACATTTGTATAAGTTTATCAATTCTTCCCCCCAAAATACCAAGCCTTTGTTATTACCATCAGTATCCAGAAAAGCAAGAAGATAAATCGAAGCTTAGTGACCCACAGAAGATCAAACCACCAGGAAGTAGAAGAGGTACCATTCAAAGACAGGCCATGGCCTAAGTTTCCACTCTTCTCACTGCGCAATATGACATCCCCTCTACTCTGAAGAAGCAGCTGCCAGCAAGTCTCCACTCCAGCGCTGCTTTCTCTAGGGTAGCTACCCAAGTACCATCCAGTGCCAAACAGAGCTTTCTGAGCCTATACTTCATCATTGCCTAGGCCACCAGGGAGATCAGTGGAGCTCTGCAAGTCTCCACCTCCTTTTCTGGGAGCTGGACACAGGTGCCATATGCCTCCCAAGATCACCATGAGCATTCAAAGAGAAGCTACATGAATGTGGCAAGTACTTTAGTGTCTTTAATTGCCATAATAATAATAATGGAATCTTCAGTATCGCAAAAACAGCATAGAGGCATTTGGGCTAACCAAGCTTCCAGCTGCTGTGAAGTATATTTTCTTCCAGAGCAATTGGATCAATCCTTTGGAAGGTCCTATCTCCGAGCCAATGAAGAAAGTTCCAAACTGAAACCTGGTCTCATTTCTGAAAGGTCTTCGAAAACTCGGAAGTTCACCCGCAAAACTAAGACTGCTGACAGACTTACACTTACAGGACCATGGTTGCAAGGAAAGAGCTAAACCTCAGAACTGTAATCACTTTAAAAACTTCAAAAGATTATTTGGAAAAGGTATAGTGAACAGCAAAGAGCTGGGTTTTTTTTTGGGAGGGGGTGTTTGAGGAGCTTAAACTCTTTCAGCAGATTTGTCTATAGGAAGGGAAAAAACAGTGGGTATGATTAGAAAGGCCTGTGGTGGGACCACTAGGCATCAGGAAAATGTAACAACCACAATGACGTTTCATCATCCCCCAGTTAGAGTGATGATCATCCAAGAACTTTAAAAATACATACGTACATACATACATAACTGTTGGCAAAATGTGCCCCAATCTGCCACTGGTGGGGATGGAAACTAATACAACCATTAGCAGGATGGTTTAGAGATTTCTCAGAGATCTGAAAATAGAGCTACCATTATGATTCAGTTATCCCACTCCTGGGAATTTACCTAAACAAAATGAATAAGTATATGAGAGAGTTATTTGTATATCCCTGCAATTTACAAGAGTGAAAACATGGAATCAACCCAGATGCCCATCAATGGATGACTGGATAAAGAAAATGTGATATGTATACACCATGAAATACTATCAGCCATAAAAAAGAAGGCAGTCTTGTCTTTTACAACAAAATAGATGTAACTAGAAACCATTATGCTCAGTGAAACAAACCAGTTCAAAAAATATGCATTTTCTCTGCTCTGTGGCATCTGATACACAAGCATAAGAAAGGTAATAGATATGAATGAGAATGATATTCTGTGATTTTATTACTGTTTACAGACTTTGTCCATTCTCTTGAGGTTTCTTTCTACTTACTATGTGCTGAAATCTTTACCTAATAGATTTTTAAGACTGTAACTGCAATAGGAGATGAAAATATGCCATTGTGATTTTTTTTAAAAGGAAGGAAGGAGAAATCTGATGGGGAATGCAGGCAGGAGGGGGTAGAGTGGGAAGAGTCACTATTCTAAACTGGTGTTGTGAAATTTGCTCATTTTATATAAATATGTTATTTTAAAAAAAACCCTGCAATGAATATACCTGTTAGAAAAACATGTCCCAGGATACCAGAACAAAAAACATTATTACTGCTTCTATCAGTAACTTACTGTGAACGTACAGTCCAACTGGAAATAAATTACAGCATCATATGTACATGTACTAAGCTCACCAAAATGCTCATAAAGTTTAATGAAATGAATGCACAGCAGGCAGATTTATTACCATTCATTTACTCTGAGTGAAGTGAATAAAAAGTATTTAACAACAAACATAATGCATTCACCATTAGAACACACTCATTAATTGTAACATACTCAATTTGCTTAATTATTTCATTTGTGATTAACTTAAGCCAAATCCAAGTCCATTCACTTTATGGTACCCATTCAGTTATGCATTCTTTCTGACACATCCTTTATTTAGAATTTGTGCTTAATCTTGTGATATGCCTGGCATATTAAAGCTCATATCTAGCCAGCAAATTAATCAAAAGTTGGTGCTTTCTGGCACCACCAGGTTGAATTGCTTAGACTTGGGTTAGTTGAAGGGCACAAGACCAGTAAAACTTGCCAGAAAAAAGGTACAGTAAATTTAGCACTTACTGCCTTGAGGTCTTCATTAATATGAGTATCATTCATTATAAACTCAGGATAGCCAACTTTGGCCAAAACAGCTCTCGCCTATAAGAAAAAAGAAAAGAAAAGAAAATGATGTCAGAGTTTCAGCACTTAAATCATTAATAATCACAAGATGTAGGAATGTAATCTTCATCTAGAGCTCCATTTACTAAGTATCTATTATATGCAAGCACTGTGAAAGCAAAAAACAGAAACAAAATGAAATTAGTCCCTGCTCTCAATATACTAAAAACATTCAGGGAATGTAGCAAATAACTATCTTGTATAAAAATCCAATGCAGAACTTAAAAGCAGATGATATGCTAGCAAAGACTGCAACAGAGATCATTTCCTCAAAAGGAAAATACTTAATGAAAAAGAGGCTCAAATGTATTAGTGGAGAATGACTAATATTGCAAAATGCAGAGTTGAGAAGAAATGCATTTCTGGAGCAGAAACAAGAAGAGAAAATACAAGGAAGAGAAGGTATCTGTGAACCCCATCTAATAAGGAGTTAATGTATAAACATATAAGAAATACAACTCAGTTGCAAGAAAACAAATAACTGGATTTCTAAAATGAGTAAGGAGCCTGGTGCAATAGCCTATTGGCTAAAGTCCTCGCCCTGCATCCACTGGGATTCCACAGTGGTTTACGTCCCAGTTGCTCCTCTTCCCTTCCAGCTCCCTGCTTGTGGCCTGGGAAAGCAATACAGCATCAATGGTCCAAAGCCTTGGGACCCTGAACCCATGTGGGAGACTCGGAAGACACTCCTGGCTTCAGATCAGCTCAGCTCTTGCTGTTGCAGCCACTTCAGGGGTGAGCCAGCAGATGGAAGATCTTTCTCCTATCCTCCTCTCTGTAAAATCTGACTTTCCATTAAAAATAAATAGATATTTAAAAATTGAGTAAGGATGCTTCTGAAAACATAACATACAAATGGCCTGTTGAACATATGGGGAAAAAATGTTTAACAGTACTAAATCATCTGAGAAACACATATGGAAGCTATAATAAACTATTCATCTATCTCTGTCTGAATAGCTATGATCAAAACAGGTCAAGACAAATGTTGACAAGGATACGGAAGAAAGAGAATTGTATACAGTGAGTGGCAATGTCAATTAGTGCAGTCTCTGGAAAACACTGTAGAAACTGTTCTAAAAATAAATAATGGAACTATTAGGCACTACAGCAATTCTGCTTCTGAGTATATAGTCAAAGGAACTGAATTCGGTATGTTAAAAAGCAGCCACACTCCCACATTCACTCTTGTATTATTCACAATAGCTAAGATATAAAGTGAACCTAAGTACCCATGAATGGATGAATGAATAACCACAATAAGATGTATGCACACAATGGAATACTATGCTACCCTTAAAAGAAAGAAATACTGTAATTTGTGAAAATGTGGAAGAACTAAAGGGATAAGTAAAATAAGCCAGACACATAAAGACGAATCATACATGATGTCACTTATACTCAAAATTGAAAGAAGTAAAATTCATAAAAGCAAAAAGGAGGAAGGTGATCACCAGGGACTGCACGATGGAGCTGGGGAGATCATGATTAAAGAACACAAAACTTCAGTTAGACAAGAGGAATACACTCAAGAGAGGTATTGTACAGAATGATTATAAAGTGCAATGTGGTATATACTTGCAAATTGATGAGAGATTTTAAAAGTTACTATAAAATGATATGTGTAATTGTATATAAGCTAATTAGCTTGATTTAGCCAATCTACAACATATACACATATAGTCTTCAAAATGAGCAATATGATAAAAGCTACATGTAGCTTTCCAATATTTTTGTTATCAAAATAGCCTTCTCTTTTAATTTCATTTCTCTACCAACTTTTTGAAATACCTTTATTGCTGGAGTTGGGGTATAGGCTTCTTTGTTTCCCCGAAAGGCCTACATGCTTAGAAGCTTAGGGTTCAAAGTCTTATGTTAATGGTTAATAGAATACTGTTAATGGATTAAGGGTGGAGACTTAATCCAATTGTGACAAGTGAAGGTGGGGGCTTTGGAAAGTAATTAGACTGGATTAAGTTGTTGAAGCAGGGCACCCTGAATCATGGTAGGTTTATAAACAGAGAAACGCAAAACCATGAGGGTTTAACATACTCCCTGTCTCTTTTGCCTCTTGGTTTGCACATGATCCTCCCTCTGTACAGTTCCATCCTCCACTGCCCTTATGAGAAGCCAAACTGACAAAGCCACCTGATCTTGAACTGTGAATATCCAAAACTGTAAGATACATCTGTTTCCTTATAAGCCAGCACCTCTTAAGTTTTTTAGTTGTGGTAATAAAAAGCTAATTAATACACTTTTCTATCAAAAGCATAGCTTAAAATCACATTGTCAGGGGTCTTCCAAGATTCCTTGGGGTCCCTTTTACCATGTCTGACATTCCTTCCCAGCCCCTGGGTTCTTTTCTTTCTAAAAGCCAGCACCTGAACATCTTCAAAGGCCTCCGCTAAGGCTATGAAATACTAGCTTAGAAGAGTTACTTTCAGGTTTTGCCTTCCAAACACAACCTCCACCTTTTCTCCACCCAGGCAGCCCTTAAGGAAAGACTGACAACACCCGGAGTGTGAAAGCCCAACTCATTTCCCCAAGTCAGTACAACCTGTCTTTCCAGATTTCTCCACAGGTCAAACAAGTTCAGAGATGTTCCTGCATCTCCCATTCCTTTGTTAGTTTTTCTTGGGAGAATTTGTTTCATAACTCATTTGCACACAAATCTTCCTCCCCAGATCTGCCTGTGGAAGGCACAAAGACCTAGAAAACCTCCAACATGTTGGTTTTATTCCAACAAAGCAACACCTTTGCATACTTCTCTGGTTGCCTTTCGTTGCTTAGTCTTTTTCAGTTCTCTCACTCAAGAAATAAAAACAATGAGATAGTACATTTTCCTTGTCTTCCTTAAATATCAGCAGAACCTTGCAATTCAAGACTCAGAGATTTTACAAATGCTGTAAGACACAATCATAATGGGTTTTGCTGTTCCAGAGACTCAAATATAACACAGATCAAGTTCTGCCTCCAAAACCCTGTGACTTATACATACTAAAAACCTAATGTGACCCAGATAGCAGATAACTGGAAGTTACAACTCATTCCCCAACATGGAAAAACATGTCATGCCTATTAGGCTACCTTCAGGGACTTTCCTATTATTTCTGTCACCGTATTTAATTTCTCACTGTATTTCATCAGCTCACCACAAGTCATGCGTAACTGTAGCGAATAAGAAGCTCCAAACAGTTGCCCCCACAAAAAAAAAAAAGAAATCTTTAAGCTGAGTCATTCAAAATTGCATTCTGAACACTGAAGTTTCCAGAGCATGCCAATGAATTAAACACTGTTCTGCAGAGCTTACCCTGTGGGACCCCCCCAACCAACTGCACTATAGAGCCTTACAGAATTTATTGCCTTCTACTTTCTATGTGCAGGTCACTAAGTCCTTTTTCTTTTTATCATTTATGTGGCATCACCGTGACTTCAAGAGAATCAAAATAGTCATCTGAAGAGTCTCTATTTACTTCCCAAGGATACTGAGAGTCAGAACGAGGAATCAGAACTAAACACAATATGGCCAACATCTGAATAAAGTGCGCTTCTTTCCAAAATGTGCTGTGTGCATATACCTCTGTTCCCACTCAAATGCTCCTTCAGGGTCTGTTGTCAATCCCACATAAGCCCTCATGTCCTCCACTGCTCTATGTTCTTCCTAGAGAAACTTTTCGAACTTCATCTCCTGAACTCCCACGGTACATGGTCTTGCTAGACCTCCAAAAAGAAAGAACCATGGGAGATTGGAAAGCTGGAAGCACACATTAGTTCTTTAGTGCTGCTAGCCATAAGACAGGCATGCGCATCTACACAGAGTAGAATAGAAGCAACACTTTACAGACACCTTCTAGGCATCCTTTCTCAGAATACCATTTGAGTGTAATACCAGCAGAGAACATTGGAAGCTTTTGCCTTTCACCCCTTAGCTCTCAAAATGGATGCCTAAGACTCCAGTTCCCTGTATTATATTGTTCTCTTGATTTATACACATATATATTACTGAAAGAGTTCTAAGACAAATAATGATCCCAAATATTCCATGGAGGCAAACACCCCCCCCCGCCCCCAGTTGAGAATTGCTGCCTAAGCCCTTCCTCCTCTTCCTTTCTAGAGCTCATGATACAAACCCAGGAGTATAGAATAACCATCATGTCACCATAAAGAATAAATATGAGGATGAAATCTGCCAGCTAAGTATAGCAGGCTAAAAAGCTGACGGCATCTGGAGCCCACTATGTACAGATCCTTTCCAAAGTTTGTGGAGAAACAATTTTAAAACAAGTTTACTTTGCTGCCAATTTTTTTTAATCCATGCAGTTTTTCATGACACACATTTCCCATGAAATTTTTGATGCCCACATTATCTCTCCTTCCCTTCTATATATAATATGGGGGAAATTTCCTTGTTTTAAGCATTATGTGTCCTGTTTTCTATTAGCTCTAGCTAAACCTAACCCTAACTTGCTCTCATTTCCATAGGATGTAGTTTAAGGAAAAAACTTGATGCCCACTTCACAGTAGTGTCTTTTTCATTGTTGTATGAAATGCAGAGTTGCACAGGTACACACATAGAGAAAGAGAGATTTTCCATCAAAAGGTTCATGCCCCTAAATAACCACAGTGGCCAGAATTGGGCCAAGTCAAAGCCAGGAACTCCTTTTGGGTGTCTCATAGGTGGCAGAAATCCAAGTTCTCAAACCACCTTCTGCTGCTTTCCCAGGAGTATTAGCCAGGAGCTGGATCAGAAGTAGAACTGTCAAGAATTGCAACAGATAATCTGATATGGTATACCAAAACCATAGGTGTCATTTGAACCTGCTGCACAAAACACCAGGCTGGAGTTCAGGATGCCGCTGCATGTAAAACACATTTCTATTCCTTGATCTAGAGTACTTGATGAATACATTTTGGTTGTAGATTATACAGAGAAAGTAGAAACAATGTCTTCTGGCAAGCCTTTGGCATAATAATTATGT